GTTATACTTTCTCAGATATTCTAACATATTTCCCTGATGAAGCTTGTATTCACGCTTTAACTTAATTTCATTTTTTTATAACAGCTCTTACATCGGATGAGGACAGTACAGGCGATATACGGCGTGGGTTCTGGCTTTACTGAAATGAAGATGCCCAGGGGCGAAAATTGAAGTACATGTACCGATTGGGGATGGTGCACCCCCGCTGAGGTAATTGGCTACCCCTGATAGCGGTCATGGTCATCCTAACTAACACACCGATCTTTTCTGTTACATATCCAGGTAAAGACTCGACACGGTAGCATTTGCATCGTGATTTTTATGAAAATTAACATAAAAAAGTTACAAGCATTTTGTCCACTTAAAACATAGATTATGATTTTAAAGTAAAATAAAACCGTCGAATAGAGAAATAAAAGAAGTTAAAGAATATGAAAATTTTAAATAAATTCAGTGTAAAATTGTATTTGTTCTTTTGAAATGCGAAATAAACACTTAATTATCTCATACAACCTTTCGATTTCACCTGTTGAAACACGAATCAGTAGCATATCGTATATCTGAAAGAAGTTGCATAAAGTTACCATACAAAAGAACGGTTTTATATACTGGGCATGTTTGAGTCAATTATAAGATATTGAGGATATACTTTGTTTCCTATCAAAATATTTTTTTTATGCAGAATAAAGAAAGGAAAAATAAAACTTTATGTTAGAAAAGTATTTTAAAAGAAACGTTGCCGTAATTCGTCAGATACTGTCGTTGTATAGGAAGTTGAATTCACTGGAGATAAGGAGGCGTTGTCATCGATACCGCCAAACCCAACACCCACAAACTTTTGGAATTTTTATGGTATTAGTGATCTGAAGCTCATATGAATTCAATTGATATAAAAAAAAACATATAACGCATACAGATAGAAACACCAACCATACGTTTCCGATGCATAATGAAAAGGGTATGTAAGTGTTACTCATCTTCATTTGTAATTATTATATACCCGAAGCTACACACACCCGTGCACAGTGGTCGTCTTTATACTTTCCCTGTTCAATATTCGAATTAAATTAAAACGATACCTAAAACAGACATTGTACTTCAGTCTCATTATTCAATCAGAGACGTATAAAAACAGACTATAAACTATACGGACCCGCAAATTAGTTACAATAATGTTTGTTTTGACTTAACCCTGATATGTAGGAGTAATCATTATCCCGGGTGTTGGTAAGATACATCTAATGTATACGATTTCGTGGTAGAAACTAGATACGCCGGCAAAAGACGTCCTTACGACTTGAGACGCTTAAATCTTTTCTCGGATGCTGTTGGAAGGAAGGGTGGCATTTATTTCGAAAGATATTACTCTTTACACAGCGGGATAGGTCCAAACAAACCAACTGTAGCCGGGTCCCTGTGAATGAACTTTACCTTCGAAATAACAATAGCCGCAGGTAACAGGGGTTATCCCACGTTTAATAAATTATAAACTATATGTATCTGTATGTTCTGTATACCATGCTATCAGTTCTGAGTTTCCGCCGACTAAGACAGTTTGACAGTAGACGTCTGGTTTGGGACCAGAGCGCACTAATTACTATGCTTATGAAAACGTAACCGTTTGGTATCGGAGAGTTTTAATCGAGATGCTGACAACAAAGATCTACTATGGCACAACACATACCTCACATACATCGATTAATAGATTATTTATTGATCCAAATCCGCTCTTATTATTACCAACAGCTGCTGAATTCCGCCAGCAGAGTCCTCGAATTGCAATCGTTAAACATTTCCCACCTGAGCGATCGCCATTTTCTAGATCATGGAAGTGACTTATCAACAAAAAGAGGCGGTCCGTAATCTTCTATACAAAGAATACTATTTTCTATTTTCGGTCCGGATCAGTACGGTTTGTTGATTAGTCAATTCCATTACCTACAAAATGGCGTTCACTCAGGTGGGAAATTTTGAACGATTGAAATTCGTAACACGCCGTCCTGACACGTATTGGACATACACATCAGAACGATTATCACTTACAAAATCTGGCCTTAATTCATTGCTAATATAATATGGTATTTCATGTAACAAACAGGCATAATTACGATATTAAAGAATACAAAATGTGGTAGGACAATTCTTCCGTGAACATTGGCACGGACTACGTGATTCCGTGATTACGGTAACAATTCGCTAGCAATCATGTATTTGCATTTAAATCGTGTCGTAATTGTCTAGGTATACCTACACATTTGTGATAATTCAGTTATAACATAGATTAAACGACCACTCTATTCAAACAAATATATGTTGTAGAAATCGTATCATTGACTAACATTTTAATCATAAGATATCAGTTTATTGGTCGATAGCGGCGAGGTATCGTTAAGCAGTTTATCGGCCGGTAGCGGCCGATAACCTCGCTCCGTTCGGGAAGCGACTGTACTAGCAGCGTTAGGCCCAATCGGTAACACCGGTCCTATCGGTAGGCCTGCGTTCGTACCGGGTTCGTCTTGCGATCGTATAGCGGCTCGTCTCCGTTTGGGAAGCGTGCGTCCTGCGTTCGTGCCACAAAAAGTGGATACTTGGGCGTAGTTCTAACTGTAGTACCTGTTCCATAACCACACACAAACCCGTTGTTTTGGTGTTGCTACTAGTTTGAAGAACGTACCAGCAAAGGCGGACAGAACAACTACATGACCGCTGGACTTCTCCAATCCCGGGAGCGCGTGCCAAGCCATATGTACTTATGCTTTGAAATTCACCTCAGACACCTTGTTCAAGTAAGTATTCTCGTAGTCACTCCTTCAGAAATGGAGATTTCGGGCCAGGATGTGGTTCAACACTAGATAGTCAAGACCTCCCTTCCTGTCTGTGAACCCGTACAGTGCAATTATTGCGAAATATATAAGAAAATGATGTTATTACTATGCCGGATTCATCCATTTTGTTATTCCAAACTAGGAAATTGGATTGCAGGCACAAATGATGATATTCGATGATGATACATTATAGCGTTCTCATAAAGAAAACTAGTAATACAGACAGGTATCTGGCGGCATTTTCCTCAGATCAAACTCATATGTGAAGATGCATACCTTATGTCAATGACAAAGGGGAGCATGCACCCTAAGGTTCATAACGATCCTTTACGTAGTTATTGAGAAATAGCTAAGCAGAATCGAGGAAAACCCTTAGTACATCATAAGCAGCATCCGTCTTTATGTCTGTGAGCAGATCAAGAGAACGAATCGGTATTACCAACGGTTTAAAATGGCAACTTGCGTGTAATAATATAACTGGCTGAATAAATACATTTGAAATTAGGCCAAGCTCACGACCGTAAACCCTCAGCAGAAAAAAATCAAAACACGTTTGTTACAAATCTCTGTACAATTAGACGATTGTTCAATAGGACACATAGTAAACAGAATAGCAAGATACTAAGAATAGGTTAGAGAAATTGATTAAACTATGGAAACAACATAGGAATGCTCAACGTGACTTAATCTTTTTGTATGTCAATGGCTTTGTTAGTGAAGTGTCAATCATTGCCATATTGCCAATTAGAGATTGACGAGAACTCAAACAAAATGTTTGTCTATAAAAAATCCTATGGGTTCCAAGCAGTTGCGAAAACAGGTAAACCAAATGAAAGTTGTCTGTTGCATGAAATGTGCTCGTTGTGGTTTGAACAAGGTCATATGAAAAGTCATCGTTCAGTAGTGGAAGGACACAAACTTTATATCACCATTGCAAAACCTCTCCCCGGCCATTACATTTTACATTTGGCTGAATGTATTCAAGAGATAATTTATCACTCTGAAAGTTACGCTTCAATGAATACTCTGTACCATTGGAAACGAGATGGACACTATATTAGAGTTTTTGGAACTGTTTGATATATGGACGTAATGACTGTAGATTTAGCAGGAAATTCGGCAAGACCAGGTGCAGTAATGCAAATATAATGTCTTTGTTCACACTCAAATAATGTAATTTCAGTCATGGAAATCGTCAAAAATGTATCAATCCAGAAAAATTATATTTAGAAATCCACACTAACGCTAACATACAACATTCTTCAAATACAAAAAGTATAAATCCATTCCTTTTAAGTTCTTCAGCCACGACCGCAGAATGTAGATGACCGCGGAATAAATCTCGTCCTAAGCATGTTCTTGCTCTTCATCCTGATGTAAATATTGCCCAGTGAGACAGGTAGAATCTTTATCTCCTTTCATCCATTGGAAATTGAATGTCGTTATTCGGATAAAGTTTGCTTACCTTTTACAACTCGATCTCCATGCCTAATGCGCCAATTCGTACGTACATAGCTCGGCATGTAACCAAAACGGGATTAAACTGCTATAGTTCACCGGTGCACTCCATTACCATCATCTTTGCGAAAATAAACTACATCCCCACAATTGGCATACGTTATAGTTAACGAGTCGTATTATTTTCTTAAAATACAATTTCAAATAGGATCTCGGTACACAAATTATGCAACTACCACAAAAAGATAACTTTTTCGATAAAGAGTTTAAATGCTAAGAAATTTGAAAAATATTTTAAAAGTACGCGTAATGCTATGAGTCACTTAAATATTCGCCCTTTCATGTACGCCCACATTTATTATCGCCATCTCAAAGCGGTCACATGCGTATTTTTATTACACTTTTTAATAGAAAATATTCTAGGGCGACAAAAGAAGTATGTGTTCAGATATGCAGTACCAATGACAATCTTGGAAAGTGTTTTAAACGTTTACAGGCGTAAAATTAAACGAACATTGAGAAATGAATATAGTAGACCGTATTTCCACAGTCGTAGAATATAGCATTAAACGCCACTGAATAGTTGAGTAAGATTGAACATGCTTTGTATCAAAAATTGCCGTCCTCGTTGTTCCTTACCATGATAGATGACCATGTCAGCAATTGTTATTTTCAAAAGAAATAAATGAAGTCTTATTTTGATAAATGTTCCTTTATCACATATAATGAAACATTGTAAAGAACGAATGCAAAATAAAAAACACAAAATACAGCCGATATATAACTATGTATGGATACAGTCAAGTAGTTTTATAACAGAGATGAATTATAATCACTTAAAACAATAAAACAAAAACAATCAGTTTATTTGATAGCTGTATTCAGAAATTATAGGAGAAATTTAAAATTATTCTTAATTAAAAATTCCTTTCTCAGAGCTTATTTAATGGTTTAATGGATTTTACAGTTCAATATGTATTCTTTCTGATAGAGCCGACATCCTCCGTCTTCCGATTGGAGTCATTGACATTTATGAAGCGTCTTGGTGTTGTGTCAATTGTCATCCGCGACTACCTCCGCAATATGGCGGACATTGGCCATGTTTTCGTCCTCCTGTGAAAACATTAGATCAGCTACGATATAGAAAAAAACACCAGCTATGAAATTTTATTTACTTTTAAAATGTGTCTCAATTTATTGCTCATAAAGAACTTAAGTCGGAGGTTCTGGTCTGCGAGAATTTATTTTTGTAAACGCTATAGCCACATTTTCCAACATTTTCTATCATTGATCTCATTTTGTTTATCGGTCGAATTGGATGATTACTTAAGCAATGCTGCTGAGCAGAAACTCCCTCTTTTATTTCCTTTTTGTTATACTTTATTTTCCTTGTTTCTTTTGTATAGTGTAGATAATAAAACGTCGTTTGTTGATTTATTTACTGCTTTTGTTTACTTTTCATTGATCTTTTGAACTTCACGATACACGATTTCAAAATTGATGTAGCACTTTAAACAAACCTTTGGCTTTTAGCTGACCGAAGACATTTGCTTCAATATCTGCATACTTAATTTGTAATTATTGGTTTTCTGTTATATATTTGGTGATATAGAATTATTTCGTTGTGAATGTTCGCCTATGTGATGTATGTTGTGACATATAATTGTTAATGCTTACGTTTTAAAAAGAAGCGAATCACCTAGAAATTTTATCTAAATTCTACTCACATATATATCTATTTAAGTATTACGGATGCAAAACATATATATGTGTTCGGATCCAGTGCTCATGTTGGACCATACTGGCGTTATTACATTCGAAATATGCACGAACAGATTTCTTGGATAATTATTTATTTGATCAACGTATCCTTTCTAACACCGAAGTATGTATAAAACCCTATTAAAAACAGAAATAAACAGCTAGTCAGAGGTGAAGACGTGAAGTCTGGATTCGTATGACCAAAATTTATAAGAGCATGGTGTGATATTTGTGCTAATGTAATTGAATATAAAGATAACTGAACACCTTTTCAAAATACAATACTATAAATTTAAAAAAGAAGGTCTGAAATGAATGATAGTACCATGTAAAAACTCTAAATAAAACCCTGACATGCAGCGAATCGTTTATCGGTCAAACTAGCATGAATGACTTACTGTTGTTACTCTACAGAAACAGCAGATTAAACAGAAAGTTTTAGAGTAAGGAATCACAAATGATTTTTGTAATTTGCCTTTGTCCTGGTTATCGATATTCATTATGCACGACGAGATGTAAAAGAAAGCATAAATATTTGCTATATTACGCTAATGTTATGCTTTAATTAATGTGCACAAGCCCTGGTGTAGCGAAAGTTTTTTTTTAAACTTTTAAACATTTCCTAATGTTCACATTTCTCAACAAAATAAGTTGCATTAGGTACATATACCTAGACATTAAAGGAAATAAAGAACTGATGGAAGAACAAGCACACTTTAGGTCTTTAATGAAACTATGAGTTTGATTCTGCATAGTCGTTGACATACGTATAAAAAGTTGGTCATATATTTCTAGACTTCCTGAAAAAGTGTTGGTCTGCTCCGAAATAAATAAATAACAATAGCCTGATTAAATATTCAGATATTCCTTTGTCTTTTTTCGTTTGTTTGATGACATTTACTGTAACATTTTTGTTATCAATCATTAACGATGTATTGGTCTTAAGGACATTTTTTGTATTGATTGACTATGGAGTATGTGATTATACGTATAAGAATAATTGAGTTGGTCGGAAATCAAACAGGCAAAACTCTTACTTTTGATCAGTTCTCGTTTTGTTCTTCCATTCACAAGACTGTTTATAAGCTTCATTAGTCCATCGTCAGGTGAATAGTCAGTCGATTTAACAGTATCAGTCTTAGAGTAAAATAGAAATGATGAAGAAAAATTAAAAAAGAAACAAGGAATATTACAATGCTATATCACCAATTAACTACACAAAATTTACCTAAAACCCAAACCTGTTCATGGCGTACAGCGAATAATTGTTTAAACGTGAATCAGTAACTTTGAAATAACAAATTAATCGGAAGTTGTTATGCTATTTTGACTACTCGACACACATAAAAACCTATATAAAGTATTCAAGAAATAAACATTAGGTAAAAAGTAGTGTTCATTATATACACACGGAATTGAACGCACCTTAAGTGGAACGGCCCTGGCCTGCTTAGAGTCCGCAATAGCCAGGAAACACAGGCAAACAAGGATAACTGCCCCAAACATCATGTTTACAAAATCTGACGACGAATACTACAGAAGCATTAACAAGACATCAGAACATCGCTCGGCCGCGTATTTTATACAACCCTCCCATATCAGCTCAGCAATTTATTATTTGTTATTGTGCAATCATGTGTGCAGGCCACGCACTCGCTACATGAACACATTTTACACTTAAATCTATTGAATGCCAGTTCACCTATCATCTGTGCACAAGTAAGAAGCAGGATACAGCTGGCATCTCTTATTTATCGTACATTGCAAAAGTAATTTAATTTCTGTTTATACCAAACTCTGCTATTACCTAAAACTAGTTTAGTTTATACTTGTAATTTAATAGAGAACTATAAAGTCGGTTAGTAAACCAAGTGACGTAGTAGATCTTTATCAATTAAGGTGAAATGACGCTTATTGTGTAAATATTATCTCTGACTCAGTCGAACACATAGATGCCATTCGTTGGATTGTACTCGTGACATCTCGTGCATTCACTTATGCTTGTTTATGACGCATACATACATGGCTTCAACCATGAGCCTGATTAGATAGGTAGCAGTCGGGAAACAGGTTTTGCATGCTTTATACTAGACACAAATATAAGTTATTGGAATTTATATTGTACATTATAACTATTTATTATTTTTTAACTTCATTCATAACCGTGATTGTGACACAAGTGCAATGTCCTCCCAATCGGTTGTTTGTTTAGCAAAGGATTTGTCAGACACCAGGAATTCACACTTCGTAATTGCAATGCGTCCTTAAATGACCTTAGCTATTCATAGGACCCTGCACCTAATAACCCCTAAACCGCGAAATGCTAAAGTAATGGTGTACAGATGATATAATTATCACAGACACATACATTACTCACCGTTTAATTACACTTTAATATGACATAAGGTAAGCGAGGATAATACAAAATGCTGTAATTTCAAAATACAAATATATCATATGTGTTAAGTTAAATATTAGCTGAAGGAATGGGCGAAATCAATCGTTAACCAGATCAGTGTGACGATCGCATATTCAAAGATTTCACGAAAAATCAAAAAAATCTTAACAAGCGATGTGTTTCTTCTAAATAATTGGATTTTGCAGTGTTTGCAGCTTTTCATTGTTTAGCTGAAAATCTTTGCTACTGTATTTATTTCTGGTAATATACAATACATTATATTTTCAATTTATAATCAAAACGATTCGGAAACAAATACTTATTACTTATACAATGTCCATTTCATTACGTTAGATATACGATACTGACAGCAGATATAGTAATCATTAAATCATATTGAAATAATTAAGTTCTAATGCATATACATAAAATAATTTCGTAGAATGGCAGAAAGATGTGCTAGTTTTAATTTCGCGTATTCAAATTCTAACGTTGTTAGCATATAAAAGAAGATTTGCGAAAATAAAAAAATAACAAGTACATGTAGCCTGCTTGATATAATTATAACCTTAAGAGAAATATATCCTAGCAGATAATTTCAGAAAAATTGCTTTTGTTTGGAGGAAGCCTATGAATTACCTGTTATATCCAGTCCATGATTGCTTTGGTTACTAACGTGCATGTGGGACCCAGAAGAATATCATAAACAATGCACATCGGTAGAAATCACAAATGGCGGCAATGGAAACAATGTTAACGCTCATGCAATTTATCAGAAATATCGTCTGATCAACAGGGGTTCGTTACAAATGACTGAGATACACATATTCTAAAGACTTACTGACACATAACTTACAGACCTACTGATATGAGTCACAGCACACATAAACATTTCTGACAATTGTAACGAATCTGTGGTCCGTCGCAAGATCACTCACTTCAAACTCCACGGGCCTCAGTTTCTGACGACATGTCAAATAACGAGGCTGTTATAGAATCTACCGACTGTTGTCAGGTTCCAATACAACCAACAAATAAATTCACGCCTGGATTCTTCACAAAATTAGCAAAGAGAAAAGTTCGAATTAACTTCCAAAAACTACTCCCTCATGGAGGGCAAGGTCGGATTTACGGTGTTCACTGTATTTGTCCCTGCGCGAAATTTGTTCCAGGGGAAAATCGAAACAATTTAAAATCAAACTTTCAGCTCAGAGTTCTATTGATAAACTTAAATCACCCTATATACATATCATACGCAATTGTATTGATACTGAATTGAGGCATAACATTGAAGTGTTTGTTAAAATTTCAAAGTACTACTTTGTTTTCCAAGCAGCACGCGACAATACGCTGTTCAAACTATTGAACGAAAGTGTGTGGACTGTCGATAAGGCGGGCATTTTTGATTTTAAACATAAATTATAAGTTAAAAAAGAACATAAGAGGCAGAGAAAACGTAAATATAATTATTGAACTGATTTTGTATGGTAGTTATGATCTATTTCAAATAGATTATAAATACCATACAAAAATATTTAATGCTTAAGTAATCTACGAAACAAAATAGTTGGAATTTGAATCGATTATACTAGGGCTGAATATGAACGTAGTAAACATTAAAACGAAGACAAAAATAATAGTATCATGTGCTCTGGAAGGGTAGGTATAAGCTACTTCATTGACCTAGATAGTTTATTTTAAAACTACAAGAATGACTAAACAATCTGGCTTTGATGGGTCACAAGTTAAGTCCAAATAAAATTCTAGTTAAGCAGGACACATTATCATTCTAAGAGATGTAATAGATCTGTACATGAAAGCCCTTTACCTGTATCGTCTAATCTTTAAGGTAATAAGAGTCTATTGCCATTAATTAGTTAAATGCTAAATGTGCCTTCGACATACCAAAGCTGATTAATTTACTTATGATTTAAATACAAAACAAAAATTAAATTACTTATTTAATTGGTATCAGAATGCCAAGATTCAACGATAATATATAAATACGTTCACCATGATATGATCACGTGCTACGGTCTATTTCCTGCACTTAATGCAGCACCATCGTAATTGTAGTTTAAGTGCAGTGTGCGGAACAGCGACACTGCTGTCCTTTTTGGAAAATGCTTCCATCCATGTCAATTTCTCTCATATTTGCAATCTGTACGCAATACATAGTTTAAAGATTATACATGGTATGTAAACACCTTTTTTCAGGCAGTTGTATACACTCGCAGCGAGAAATGTTATTCTTCATCTAATACACGCCTCTATGCTTACTTGAACAAAACTAGTAGTTCTATGCTCACCAGTAAATATAGGAGTCGTAAGATTGTTTTTTAATTTAAGATAATTGATCGAATCACCAGGACACTTAACAGTCTCCGATAAAGCTATGATAAAGCTTCTTTATTTTTTCTATAATAGAAACGTATGTCTGCAAGCTCTGTCTACAGGGACAGTATCATTCCCACTAGATCAGAATATTTGTTTTCACCAATAACGAAAATCACGAGATTCGTTCTTTTTAATACTGAATTAGTCATTTTCGAATTTCAAATCAGCTCAAATCTGCTGTTCATTTTTTGCTTGTTTCCATGTCATGAGAAATATGAATACCGAAACAGATTGATTTAGATGCTGTTATTCTATAGAATAATGAAAACTATACTCACGACAGGATAAAATGGTGGAGATTCATGTGAAGGCCTCGGGATAAGAGTCGTAATGTGTCAGACAACTGAATGGTCAATGCAGGTACATCACGCATTCACTCGTAATTCGATTACGCTACATGATTTTTACATGCGGTCGGGTATATTTTGTCTGTCAGAAATCAGGGTAATTATAAAAACCGGAGTCTTCTGGATTCACTACCTTCCGGAATTGTTTCCATACATGTGTATTATGTTACCTATTACTTCTAGTATCGGTTGACACTCAGGTGCAGTATTGCCCAAAGCTTAATAATAAAGAAAGGTGATGAGTAAAAAGCAAACTCGATTAGCAAATATTATAAAGACATATGCATAAAGAGTGATATATGATTTTCACTCAAGTCTATAGACAGAATCACTCCAAAATAATTTAGTCCTCTTTATAACTACATACAAAAACGTATTTTTGAAAGTCGTGGCAAATGGCCCTAAAGTCAATCCTGTGTTTCTTGCAGTTTTGTCAAAAAGGTCAGAAGACTCTTCTTACTGAAAGGTATCGAGAACATACAAAAGTGAGATTTGGAAAAGCTTCTTTCTAAAATTAGGGAAATATCCCTTTGGAAATTAATATTATCAAAGCAGATTTTCAAAAAGTATTTCTCAATACATGTATGGGGACAAGTAGGGGGCGTTGATGACAGATAAGCAAAGGAATGAAAATTGAATAACCACTCCCAACATTCGACAATCTTTTATAACAGAAAGCTTCCGTTGCTCATTATCCTTGTCGATTTCGTGATGGTCGCTTTACTTAACTTGGAGAGACTCAGCGATGCCAATGGGAGGTATCTGTTTTAGCCGCATATTGCTAGCCTCCTTCATACCCATTGTTTACACAATCCTTTTCTCTGTTGATAACTTTAACACCTGTCCAGTTAATCTATTGATCGGTCTTCGGAACATGCTTAGCAGAGGCATTAGAGTCGACGTGTTTCTTGATATAGTCTCTGATTCTATAATGTAGCATGACAGTGAAGTAATACACGGCATATTTTAATCGCTCGACACTTGTCCTTATTCCTAAAGTTTCATTTTTTATACCAAGGATTCTGTTAAACAGTTTTCGTGTTAACAGTTGTCACTAACGCCCTTCCTCTTCATGAAATGACCGATGACATACTTTTAATGCTGGGAATCAAACATTTGCTCAGTTCAATTGTTGGTTCTTCTGCCGTGTTCTTACTATTGAGAGAAGAAGCTAGCTGGAATCCCTAGTCTGTGTATTGCTATGGTCCAGTGCTGTTCTTATGTGGTGGCGTTTCTTCATTATCAGCTTGATCACCCGTAAACCCTGTTGGTGAAGGTTCAGCTCGCGTCCTGAATTTGCTGGAGGGGATGATGGGAGTGTCATGTATTATCTGTGGGAATCACCTTTGTGTACACAGTAGCGGTCATTGAGCTGTTCGAATTCACTTGTATCTGTGCATCTTGCATAAGAAGACTGCCCTATGAATATACTCGTTAAAAAACCTTGT